TAGAATAGAATAGAATAGAATAGAATAGAATAGAATAGAATAGAATACTTTATTGGCCAAGTGTGATTGGACACACAAGGAACTTCTCTTGGTGCAAATGCTCTCAGTGTACATAAAAGAAAATATACATTCACCAAGAGTCAAGAATCATAAGGTACAACACTTAATAATAGTCATAGGGTACAATCAACAATCAAATCATACTAGGAAACAGTCAATAAAAATAGTTAGGAGTCATGCGACAAGGTTACAGTCATACAGTAACTTTTATAAGTAACTTAAGGTGGCAAAGATATTTAATGCTCCTATTTTCCCACAACAACCCTGTGAAGTGAGTAGGATTGAGAGAGTGTGACTGGCTCATCACCCAGCCAACATTTCCTTTTGAGGGCTAATATGTTTAGGTGACAAAACTCTGGGTGACCACTAGATGGCAACAAAGACATGTGTAGAAGAACTCTAGAATCTTTGTTGCCAGCTGGATGTTTGTAGCCCAGATCTGTTAGTCCTACTTTTCTTTTTCCCAGGAACTCATTATGACATTGCAATTTTTTCAACAGATAAACATTCCAAATTCAGATCGTAGCCTGGAATATGGACTTATCTCTTCCTCCAAACTTTCCCCTCAATGGCTCCCTTTTTCACCTGCTCTGTTTACCATCTTTTTATCATAGCCGAAGTAGCATAACTTTAGTTCTGGACTGGGTTGCATTACCCCAGACAGACCCAGTTTGCAAATTGCAGTTCTCATGGACTCACAACTCTTGCTTGATGAGCAGGTGAAGTTGTGGCTAGGAGTCTTTCCACAACTTTGGGTTGTGTGCCTTTTCTTGGACTGGGAATTGCTGCGCTTCCATCATTCAAGCCCTGCTCATCTCATGCTTGAACTGCTACAGTGAATTCTACATGGGACTACCCTTGAAGAGTATCCGAAAGCTTCAGCTGATACAAAACACAACTACATGGGCAGTTCTTGAGGCTCCTAGGGTGGCCCAGAAGGACATTGCTGTTGTAGATGACCAGGCTGAACCTGATGGCGAGGTCAAATGCATCATCAGTTTGGAGTCTCTATGCAACTGTGAGAGACCTAAGTCCAGCCCCCTTTGCTTCAGGGTCCAATTCAAGGAGTTGATTATCACCCTTAAGGCCCTGCATGGCATGGGTCTAGGCTATCTAAAAAACCAGGTTATCTTGATGGGATTAGCCTGCCCCACCCATGCTGGCAGAAGGACATGCTGCAGACACTGTCAGTCAAAGAATTTCTACTGGCAAGGTCCAGAAGAAGAGCCTTTTCTGCAATGTCAGAACATCTCTGGACCATCTTGCCCCCAGAGATCAGATCTGCTCCCACCCTTTTGGCCTTCTAAAAAGCCTTGAAAATATGGCTATGACAGCTAGCCTGGGGCCCTAATGGCAGTGTAACACATTGCAGGTGGCTAAGAGTACCAACACCCTGCCTCCTCCCTGTGCATACTTTGCTCTCTTTTTCCCTTTCTATCTGCTTAGCTTTATTTTAATTGATTTTCTAAATTTAAGATCTTTATTGTTTTAATGTTTATACTGCATTTTACTTAATTTTTGTAAGCCACCAAGGATTGCCTTTGGCAAGATGGGCAGCACACAAGTTCAATGAATAAACAAACATAACCAAAAAATGCTGGGTGCTTTTAGATAAGGCTTTTACTTTATAATTGTCTTACCTCATTCAGATAATTTTATATGGAAGTTTGAATACAGCCAACTTCCATTTGCTCTTCTCCCAAGTCCTTTTATTGCTTGTTGTTTTATTCTTTGCAGGGAAAAAAACCCATTAGGAAGGGCCAAAGGAAATGATTGCGAAATGTTTTTTGACAATTAGCACTAGCAGTCACATATCTGGAAACAACCTGTGTATTGTATTTTAGAAGCCGTGAGTACCTTAGGTGACCAGAAGCTGTGGGTGCCTTAGGGTGAACATTCCTGAACAAGAACTCCATAATATTAAATCAGATAATGGCATTTTGACAGATGCAGTTTTTGTTACCACCGCAATATTTACTTTAAAAAATACAGAAGTCTACTCCCTATGCATTCAGTCACATTGCTCTCCCACTTTTTCCTGCTATCTATGCAGATAATTTTAAAAAATGCATGACCCTCCCCATTAATTTCATGTTGAAGTGATGCTGAGCCACAGCATTTACTCGTTGTGTACATACATGCACAAACAAAAAAAAACCCCAATAATAATCCCTGAATATAATTGTTTTGCAATACCAAGCTGCTGTAAACTAGTTTATATAAACACCTTACCAGCACATCCTGCGAGTCTACCTTTTTTATTTTATTTTAATCTTGTTCTTAGCCCATATTTAACCTATTGGAGATTTCAAACAAACCCCCCCCGCCCCCTTTTTTATTTTTGTAAGAAAAAGAAAGAACGAAACATTACATTTTTCACATTCACTCTAGCAAGAGGAGGAATCATCTGGTTGGCATTTTTGCCACGGCTCTTCAGTTTGCTGCCTCTCAGACTCGATTTAATTCTGATCAAATCCCACCGCAACCGATCGCCACCGCTTTGCAAAATGAACGCGGCGCTTTATTTCGGGAAGGGCACGGAGCATGGAGAAACAGACTGAAACGTTTAAACCGAGCAAACTTCAAAACCTCCCAAGGGAAAGGTCAGAGAGGAACGCACCACAAAGGGCAGGCCAACCATATTTCTTGTTTATACGGAAGAGTGTTGCGGTTAAGCAAGCTCCCAGGGCGGACTCGGGACATAACGTCAGAAGGGCATTATTGTTTAACTCGCGGAACCGAATCACAAGCCCGCGCGCTAGGACGAACGCCAGCCCATCTGGGCTTCCCCGCTTCGGTTCCCCTCTTTTGTGCCTCCGACGGCGACAGAAGGGAAAGTTTGCTGATTAGCCGAGCGGCTTGTCAATCACGCCCGGGAAATTCCAAAATGGGCGGATCTGGGTCCTTCTGGGCAGCGGAGAGGAAGTCAAAGCGATGCCTGTGATACAAAGCTTTGGAGGTCCCGGAGCTGTTTGGACCTCGATCCGTACAGTTTTTAGCAGGTAGGACTAGCTCACCTCCTCCCCCATGGCATTCGTGTTAAACGGAAGGAGGAGGTGGGGAAGGATGGAGTCCCTGGTGCTTTCGGTACGTGTCCGAGATGCTCTATGGATGGCACGGCTCTTTTTAAAAATATCTATATCCCTACCTACCTACCTACCTATATTAACGAGTATCTCTATAAGGGATGCACAGGCAGAGGCAGGTCTGAATGCTCTCATTTGGACCACTTTCGGGTGATTGACTTTTCTTAACCTCACTTTGTATGGCAGGTAATAAACGGTGATCTTGAACCTGTATTGAGTTTTGGGGGGTTATCAGGAAAAAAGGGGGGGAATGTTCCCTTTGATGTTGAATGTAGAGTCTTTTTAAAAATATCCCTTGTCCAAATGCACAACTGACATTCTGTTGATATATTTCTCTTTGCTGTTAAAAGGCCAGATCATCCTGTATGTGGCAACTCTTGAGGTGCATGAGTGGAAAGATCACATCAGATTGTGGTGTCATGTAAATGAATTAAATTACTGACTCATTTGCTAAGGAACTGTTCTTGTTTGGGAACAACTGATGTGTCTGACATTTGTGGCCCAATTCTTTTCATTTGTTCAAAGTTAAAATATGCAGATTCCCAGATAAACATGCACAGGATTATAACCTTTTAAAAAAAATGTGCTCACAGTATTTTTATTCTGACTTTCTTCCATAGATTACAGGTTTGGATATGTGAGAAATATTTTATTTTCTCTTTCCCAGACTGAGTTAGATCCATGTAATTAATGTTAAAAGATGATTGGCTTGTGGCTAGTATGCTTAGTAGGATGGGTAAGTCCAATTGATAGTGTTCATTATATAAACAGTGGTTCAAGTTAATTGTTGGTTGATCAGTATATCTCGGTCACAGTTGGTGAATAGCTAGTAGTGAGCAGGGAATTAAAGCTAAATCTCATTAGTAAAAATAACATCTCCTTCAAATTGAAGGAGGGGCATGGATCTAGCCTCGGGCTGGGAATCTGGAAAACAATGTAAGGAGGTACATCTTCAAATATCCTTGGTAATAATATAGTAGTGATTTGCTACTAGAATATTATGAGAGGGGTTGCTTCTATTTTTCAGTCTAGCCTATATTCTGGGAATTTCTTGTGATCTTCTTTCCAATCCTAATTAGGCCTGAATACGATTTGATTTATTTCTGTTTGGTGGTGGTAGTCAGGAGGAATAGTCCAGAATTAGTCTGTTTCCATCATCTGCTATAACAAATTCCCAGTTCTTTTTCGGTTACATTATTTGGGTTTGTCAGTTCAATTTCTCATTCTCTATTTCTCAGAATTAGGGAGAATAAGCATAATCACACATTTTTCTAAGATACAATACAGGTAGTCCTCAATTTACAACCGTTCATTTAGTGACCATTCAAAGTTACAGTGGCACTGAAAAAGTGACAAACATTTTTCATACTTATGACCGTTGCAGCATCTCCATCCATGGTAACGTGGTCAAAATTCAGATATGTGACAAGTATTTATGACAGTGGCAGTGCCCAGGATCATGCAATCACCTTTTGTGACCTTCTGACAAGCAAAGTCAATGGGGAGGCCAGGTTCACTTAAAACCATGTTACCAACTTAACTGCAATGATTCACTTAACCAATGTGGCAAGAAAGGCTGTAAATGGGGCAGAACTCACTTAACAGCTATCTTGCTTAGCAACAGAAAAATTGGGCTCAATTGTGATTGTAAGTCGACTACCTGTATTGTTTTATTTGGGCTTAGAGTATTGTGTGAACTGAACCACTTGATTTGAAAACCAAGGTTTAGCATAATGTGTGAAACCAACTAATGGTTACTAATCCAATAACAGAGCAGTGAAGCTGCAAAGCGCTAATCTTGGAAAGCTTCACTTCTGAGTAACTTTCTGTTGGGAGGTATCCTTGTGTTCCAGGCTTTATTGAGTTGAATGAAAGTAAGAATCAATTTTTGTCAATTACTTGATACTGGTGTTTCAAAACTGTCTATTGCAAATATTTTTGTTTTTGTTTTCACAGAACCTTATTATTATATCGTTGTTGAATTACATGTAACCTGATTTTCAAGGCAAGGTAGCTCTTTTTAAAGTATTTTTTTATTCTATTCCTGCTTTGCTGTTGGCATCATATAGTAGGCATGTTTATGTTCAGCAATGGAGTTGTGATATAGCCATTTAGGTGAAAGGCTGTTTAAAAAAAATCAACTGAAGTCATCACCAGTGGCCTGTGTACTGAGTATGGAGATCAAGACATAGGTAGATTTGTGAAAAAGTGTTGTTTTGTGGCATATCCCCAGTTTAGTTTCTGTTACTCCATATGCAAAATAACATTGCAGTACATATAGGCAATCCTCCACACATGACCAGAAAATGGAGATTGCCCGTTACAGATCTATGTTGTGACAGTCATAAAACAAGTTGGTCATGTGACCAACCTGGTTTTATGATTTTCTTTTTTTGCAGTTGTCATAAGTGCAAACAGAATCAGAAGTGTGAGCCTGTTGTTTGCTATGGGTGTAATTTTGCAAAAAACTGGAAGTGTTGGGTTTTCGCAAAACCATGTGTCAGGTTTCCATGTGTCAAGTGCTGAAATCCATTTAAAAAGAAAAGAACAAAGTCCATCTTCCAAGACAAATTCTTTTATTTAGGAAAACATCAAATTGGCGAAGTCCGTGGTAATTCCGGATCTGACTCAGAATTACCCCACAGTATTACAAGTTAGAAATAGCCCCCTAAAGTCACATTCTCCAATAGAAGTAATTCAACGTTGCTTGATGTCATAGATCTCCACCTCAAGGCGCCTAAGCAGGGACAGCTCGGACAGCTCATTTTCCCACAGGACGAATACCTAGCCTAAACAACTCTATCTCCACTCCTCCCCCCTTTGGAATGTAGCAAGCCTGAAACCCTTCCCCCCCATGTCTGCCACAGAGAAAGTAAGAAAAAGAATATATACTAAGCCTAACTAAAATGGCTACACGTATGTCAATTTCGGGCTTGACACCATGGTAAAAACAGTCACCTGACTGTGATATGCTGCAAATAGCCATGATTGTGGTTGTGTTGCTGAGTGCCCAAAGTGTGGTTACATGACCATGGTGGGATGGGTGGGTTCGGGGTGACTATCAGAACTTTGAACCTGGGTCATTAAATTCCCATTTTCAGGCAGGTTGTACCTTGAACAATTGCTAAACAACCAGTCGTAAGTTGAGAACAATCTATATATGTATTGCCTTCTACATGACTAGAACCTGCATTATCAAGTTCTTGGATCATATAGAAGCCAAGGAACATGCACTGCATCTGGAAGGTTTTTCTCTTGCGCACATCAGTGCTAAATAATGCTGATATTGTTTGAGTGATGTTTGGTTGTGCACAGAGCTTTTTCTTAAGAATGCTTGATGGGATTGCTCCCTTGTCCTAATAGAATCTCCCAGAATCCATCTAATCCATCTGTAGATTAGTTTGTTTGATTTTGTTGTTGGTGAGCCTAGCCGGTGTGGTTTATTCAGTAGCCGTGTGGTTAAACCATGGTTTAGTATTTATATGAGCCAAGTCACCAGCTCCTTATGGCAACCTTTGGGTGAACTCCTATATTGGTTACCTGTACTGGAAGTGGTTAGGCTCTCATAGGGTTCCAGGACTCCCTCTGCAACCTTGAGATACAGAACTTCTGCTTGAGTAATTCTAACCAAATTGTAAGAAGAAGAAAAATGTCAGGATGAAACCAAATAATTTTAGATTTTTGCCGTTGTGTATCTGTGTATGTATATACAGGTAGTCTTCGACTTATGACCACAATCAAGCCCAAATTTTTTGTTGCTAAGCAAGACAGTTGTTAAATGAGTTATTTACCCCATTTTACAACCTTTTTGCCACAGTTGTTAAGTGAATCACCGCAGCTTACGTAACACGGTTGTTAAATGAATCTGGCTTCCCCATTGACGTTGCTTGTTAGAAGGTCTGAAAAGGGGATCACATGTCCCTCGGACATCACAAGCGTCATAAATATGAGTCAGTTGCCAAGTGTCTGAATTTTGATCACGTGGGGTTGCTGCAACGGTTGCAAGTGTGAAAAATGGTCTTAAGTCACTTTTTCAATGACATAACTTCAAACGGTCACTAAATCAACTGTTGTAAGTCAAGGACCACCTGTATACCAATGGTGGGATTCAAAAAATTTGAACTACCAGTTCTGTGGGTGTGGCTTGGCGGGCCTGGCAGGGGAAGGATACTGTAAAATTTCCAGTCAGAGGTGGTATTTGCCGGTTCTCTGAACTACTCAAAATTTTGCTACCAGTTCTCCAGAACTGGTCAGAACCTGATGAATACCACCTCTGCTGTATGCATACTGTATTCACATATCCTGTAGGTGTGCATTCATGAGCATTCTAGGCAATAGTATAGCAATAGTTTGAAGGTAACCATTAACCCACTTCCTAGAAGCCAGGGTACACAGACTGTTTATTATAAACGTTAGTCTTTTTTATAACATGGGGTCACAATGGGTTGGACATGACTTTGCAACTAACAACAACAATTTTGTAATAAGGTTGGAGAATGAAAGGTGCTCTGGGCACAAGAAGAGGTATGGTTTTAAAATTGTGCTGTGTCTGTTCTCTTATTACAACAAGGAGATGGTCCCAGACATCTATGTACAAAAGAAAGTGAGTAATTCAGGATATGGAGTTCTGATCTAATCAATCCTCTCTGAGATGCACTGTCTCTACTCTGTACCAATTTAATGCCTATTTGGTGCCAGCTCTGGATACATGTTTTCTTTCCCAGCTGGTGGTTCTTACTTGTGGCTAAATCTTTTGGGCTTTTATCCATTATTTATTCACATTCACATTCATCTCTTTTCTGGGTCATTGGGACAGGAGGTAGACACACAGATCGTGGTATTCCCCCTGCCCTCCATTTAGTTTGTTTGTTTGTTTTTTATTGATGGCATTCATGCTCTATGAATCATGGTCTGAT